GAATTGATTAGTACAAGGCATCAAGAAAATGATTTTATCCTGAAAAATATTATATGGTTAGATGAAGCAAAATGTAGCAAATATGGCCTTTTCAATCGACACAATTCTCATTATTGGGCTAATGAGAACCTGCATGTAATAAGACAAAGAAACTTTCAAGGCAATTGTACTGCAGTCAGAGATAATCAAGTTGCCTCTCTACAGTTTTATGAAGAAAGTTTAAGTGGTAAGTTAGCAATTAATGGTTTTTATAAAAGAATCTGGTAATAATGTGCAATACGCAAATACCAGTATCATACGTGTTTTTAACACATTAGGTCAGCATTGCCAACATTAGTACTAATTTCTCTCATTCAAAAATATTTGGATATTAAAGAAAACCTTATGCAGTTATAAAAATTATCATTATTAATATCCAATAATATTTGTAGGTGAAGATTATTTGAATGTTCTTCGGAATTTAGAAAACAATTTATCACTTGCTGATCATCAAAATGTATTCTATCAACATGAGGGTGGTCCACCCCACAACGGATACTTAATAAACAATTTCTTAGAAGCTACGTTTCACGCAATGGTTTGCTGATAATGGATCATTCAATTTCGCCAGATCTAACAGTCTTGGACTACTTATATGGAGGACAATAAAACATATTGTTTACCAGAACCCACTGACCACTCTAGATGACTGTAAGCATTTGCGAGATTGAGTCCGGAAATCATAAGAACTGCCACTCATCAGGAGTTAATTCGTAGATGTTTTAAATGTTTGGAAGTTAGGGGTTGTCATTTTGAACATTTACCAAAATAAGTTGTTTATGGTTATGTTTTAATTTTGTTTTATAATGGTATGAAAATATAAATCGAAATAGCTTATTGTTTCCTGTTATTCATTTCACTGTATGTACGCTTGTTTGGAAATCTACTAGCAAACTTATCATGATTAATCTCCATATTATTATGATTACGAATACATGAAAATTATTAATTATACTATTACTAAAAGCTTGAAATTAGATGTTTCTGTAGTGCTCAATTGTTTATTCTCCGCATCGTGCCATAATTGCCACCTAAATGAAGAACTAAATCAGTAAATATAGGAGTTTTACAATAGAAAAGTAATGAATTGCAAATTACTCGAAGAGAAAAAATTTTATATAGATATATAAGGTTACGCTAATTTTTACTGTTTGATGCGATAAACTTATAAAATAAGGTGTTTTCATTTGGAAAAATCGACTTTTGTCAATTTTTTACATTTCATTTTTATACTGATTTTTTGACCACCCTGCAAAATAATCATCGAAATATCATACAAAGTCTATTAAGCTATGACTCTATACATAGGGGAAATGGAAAATTGTTTTAGGGCCTGCAAACGTCATTTTGAACATAAAATTTGAAATATGTCAAAAACGCTTAGACTTGAGTATAGGAGATTATACATGAAATGTGATTAGAATTTTATGTAGAATCCGAATGTTGAGTAATTTCAATTTAAAATAAGCAAGTTGGCATCAACTTCCGGTATAACCGGAGGTGTCACCATCTAGAAAATATTGTTGCCCCACCGACATCAGTATACTCCCAAATTTTTCAAAATATCATATGGCTACTTTTTGAGAAATGTATCGATGGAGTTCCCGATGCGACACCCTGTATAGTAAACGATCCTTCATTAGCATCAACAGAAGGATTCCTTTACATATTGCAATAATGTAGCAGGCAACTTGGAACGTCAGAAACTATATTGGAGGCATACCTGACGTATAAGCACCAAAATTTGCGATATAATTAGGTAGCTGATATCCCTGCATCCGCTACCTCTAAGACCTCTCTGACATTCGCGCCAAGGAGACATTAGTAGTATCTGCGGTCGTTATCTGGCAAGCCGATGTATAATTCAGCGTTTATCGTTGAGGAACATTTGGGTAGTAGTCGTTGGGCTGCGAGGCTTCCCGAGATTCCGTGTCCCGACCGCAATAACACCATCTCCATATTGCTCGGCTCGGATACACACCGTTTTGCATACATTAAGGAGTCACTTCGGCAACATATCGACCGCTACACATAACTTCAGATTTACTCTAATTGTGCTGGGAGGTACTGAGCCTGCAGTTGCAAGAGAGTTACGCAACGCTGCTGACTTGATATAGGTAAGTCCGTGTGTTTAAATATATTCTCCTAGGGCCTGCAGTGTTCCCTTGACGTGTTAGTGTTTCCGTTGCAACATGTCTGCATCATCTTATTTTCCATGCGTATTTGTATGAGGAAGCTTAAACTTTGTCCCATTAGGCGTCACCTTTGCGTATTGGTATATTACTCTATACAAGAATAATATGGTCAGAAAGTGAAATTTTTAAAACTGCTTAAAATTTTTAATTTTTGTAAGATAGCCTGTTACCCTATTTTTGATGCCGGCAATAGAGAGAATGAGTCATCAAAATAGCTTAGCAAAATCAAGTATTTGGTAAACTTTAAAGAGAGAGTGAACGGTGATCTTGTTTTTGACCTTCATCATCACCTTCAAAGTCATTTAGCAGCACACAGCTAGTAAAACCACTATGAATCCTACGGGATTGGTGATGAACATAAATATGAACGTCAGTTCTTTAGTAAATTTTAGCGAGTGATCTTGGACTTGACCTTGAACCCCACTTTCAGGGTATTTTTTTCAAATAGAAACCCGCAGTAACGTATCGGTTAAGAATCATTTGTAACGAGCACTCTAGTTCCCTCGTTAAAACTTACCCAAAATTAACTTGATTTTTTCAATGGGATCTCTTGTTTTACATTTGAATATGTATTAAAATTTAAGATCCAGATGACCGCTGGACGTCGGATAGGTTAAATAAAGGTCAAATATGTGCTGCTATTAAATCCTCTAGAAATCTCGCAGCGATCGTGACAAGCATAACTGGTGAGGTCCTTAATAAATCTTCGCAAGCAGTGGTGATCTTAGATTTGTCCTTGAGCCTAACCTTCAAGGCCATTTCAAAATCATCTCTTTTTCGAAATAAAAACGCCTATTTGATGCCGACAATCCAGAGAGCCGGAAATTTTATATTCAAATGTGTATTAGATTTCAAGGTCGTCGCTACAGGTCACATAAAAGTCAAATGTGTGCTGCTAGGAAAACTTCTACAAATGTCACACGAATTGTGGCGAAAATAATTGGCAAAGTCTAATAGTTATTTTCAAGACAAACCATGTGATATTTATAGAGGTTTTCCTAGCGGCACACATTTGATCTTCATTTGACCTTTAGTGGTCATCCTGACATTTACCTTTCATTGTTTGAAAGTAAAATTTTATGTTTTTTTGGCTGCCGGCACCAAAAATAGGGGTTTCTGTTTGAAAAAATAAAGTTGATGGTAAACTAACCTTATAGATGAACGCCAAGGCCAAATTCAAGGTTACCGTCGAATTCATTGCTGAAAGTTTCTATTGACCTTAATGTTTTCTAATAATACCTTACCCGACTAAGCCGTTCCGGGACTTTTGTGTGACACTGTATATTAGAATAATATACCAAAGGATGCTAATTTGTGGTCCTTCTTACAACAATAGAAAGCTGAATCTGCCGAAAAGAAAACAATAACATCCGATATATATATATATATATATATATATATATATATATATATATATATATATATAAGCCCTCTCTCCGTTTTTGTGGACGATATAATAGTATATAGGCTTCTCGTAAATCCAGATGCAGTTATACTGTGTCTTTATATTCCATAAAATCCAGAATGTTCCTTGAACGATGCAAGGACGAACGTAAAATAAAATATACGATCCCAGACGGGCAGCTCTTGCATTATGACCATCCAAATCTGTTTTGATTGCAGACTTTAAGAAATAATTCTGCAACGTTATAAGAATCACCTTAAGGAATATGCAAACAATTTGTTCTACCTTGTTACAGTGAAGTAGGTTGACTCTGCCCCTGCAATGCAATGATGTCATCAGTTAGTTCATAAAGGATTGTTTGGTTCAAATTGTTCCCGCTTGAAAAAGGTTTACTACGAACGTGTATAAAAAAAGAGTGCCTCAATTCAGTCAGTTTAGCCCTATACACCCTAGTTCCCACATATACCAGATGTTATTGACAACGTTGCAATTACAGTTGCGTGTGTGAACGTCATTACGAGCGGACTAAAACCAAACATTCATGTAGTTTAAAGGAAAGGGCATATTGATAGAGAACGATGAATTAAAGAGTAAAGTAGCATGTAATGATATTTCCGCTCATAATATGTAAACTAAGGCGACGTCCTGCGTGAGCGATCTAGACGCGCGGCGCGGCGCGAAAACAACAAACATTCGAAACCTATTGAAGTGGCCTACGTGACCAAACGCACGTGGGGTGCAGTGCGGAGCGGCGCGAAATGAAGCGAACGCGATCAGTTGGCTTGATATTTTCGCGCGAAGTGGACGCGTCGGCCATATTTTTTTCAAGCAAAAATTGTAATGTCGGAAGTCGAACTTCTTATTAATGCTATCCAAGAACGTCCTACATTATGGGACAAAAGGAATAAAAGTTATCACAACCGGTTATTATCGCACCGCGAATGGGAGGCTGTGGCTAAAATAATTGGGACTACAAGTAAGTACAACATATTTCTTTATTATTATTACATTCTTGGCAAAGGATGTTGCTCAAAATACAGTTTAAAGTTTTCTCTTGCCTGTGCGGCTGCTCGTGATGTAGCATTGTATCTTCTTTGAGAATTATGTCTTTGTGTTAGTGACATATTTTGATATGTTTTTCGGAAAGACATTAACTCATTCTCATTTATTGATTCAAGATCCCTTATAATATTGTGTAGTAAACATATGGCTTTGACGATATGAACTGCATTTGTAACATTCGTTTCGATAGATTTATGTAGAATTCTGAATTTAGAAGTTGTTGAACCAAAAGAACATTCCACCACCATTCTGGCTCGAGATAAGCGATAATTATAATTATCTTTGGCGTCCCCTTTAACCGTTGACTTTTCTGGAAAAGGACGCAATAGGCATTTCTTTAGAGGAAACGCCGCATCTCCAAGGAGCACATACGGAGCTATGATATTAGAGCCCGATACTTGTTCTTTAGGTATTTTTAGTCTTCCTTGTTCTATTGCTCTTCGAAAGGGGCATTCTTCAAAAACACCGGCATCGTTGTCTTTTGCATAGGAACCCACATTTATCATTACAAACTTATAATTTGCGTCAGTGACTGCTAACAACCCAATCGAAAAGAAGGATTTGTAATTATAATACATGGAACCACTCTGTTTTGGTTTTTTTATGCGAATGTGCTTTCCGTCAATACATCCAATGCAATTAGGAAACTGCCATCTGTCCCAAAAACATTGCGCTATGTTTTTAAAGCTATCTTCTGAAGGTTCGGGCATGTGTTTCCTAACTAATTGAGTCCATATAGCTTTGCAAACTTGTGGTACGATTGTAGAAATAGCAGATTTTGAAATTCTGAACGAGAAAGCGAGTTGCCGAAATTGTATACCTGTGGCCAAATACCTGAAATAATGCAAAATATTAAGTTATAATTCCTTTTCTTTTTTCAGGTGAAATGACTAAGAAAAAATGGAAAAATTTGAGAGACACGTTTAGTAAAGAATTAAAAAAAATTCCTAAGCCACGTTCTTGGACTGATGCCGATAATGAGCCGAAGTATACAGGCACATGGCCACATTTTGAGGCCATGTCTTTTTTAAAAGTAGTTCTGAAACCCCGACAAACAGAAGGAAATATTATATCAAAAGACTCCGAAAGCAATTCTGTAGATCTGTCAGTGTATTCAGACGCGGCTAGTCCAGAAGAAATTTTAAACATGAACGCATCTGACAATGACAACACCCAGCTCCCTGAATCTGCGTCTATTTTAGAAGAAATACCACAGAACATGTCCATAGATAACAACCTTCGACAAGATCGTCCACCTTCGCCCTAGTTGCCAGGTCCTTCGCCTTCATCCTCGTTGCTGGTGCCTTCCCCTTCGTCCTCGTTGCCAGCTATCACAAGGCAAACACGCAAAAGAAAAGATTTAAGTCTCGAAGCATTTCTCGATATTGAGAGAGAAAAAATGAAAATTCTTCGCGAAGATCAACCAGATAATACTGACGACGACCTTCTTTGGTTCAAATCAATATTACCTTACATGAAACAGATGCCATCACTCAACAAATTACATTTTATAACGCAGATGCAGGAGGTTCTTCTAATGGAGCTGTCAAAGTTAAACCCACCACAATCCAGTGCTCAACAACCTGGCTATTACACATCTTTGTGAAAGTATTGCAATTATGTACATACTTACTAATTAAACTTAATTAATATTATATGTAATCTCTAACATTTATTTCATAGTTTTCTTACCTCAAAGTCACCATAAGTCGTTCTTCTACAGAAATAGGTTCCTGAAAATTTGTTGTAGTAAATTGCAGAACAGGTTTAATGGCTTGTACAATATAGTCAAACGTAGTAGGTAACATTCGACAATATTCCTTGAACAACAGGGGTTGAGTACGTAAATCCTGGTACAAATTATGAAATTCCCCATGACTATGCCTTTCTAAGTACATAGTATTAGTTCCACTTCTCTGCTTTATACACTTCTTCAATATCTCATATTTAAGATATGAATTTTCCAACAACATAAGCTTCCGTCCGTCCATGACAAATGTTTACCCTAACCTAACCTAAATGCTAAACTGAACTGAACGGCGGCGGAGGGCGCGGAGGGGACGGTTCGCGCGCAGACAGGACAGAGTAGCCGCGTCGCTCCGCATCGCATTAAATTCGCATCGGATCGTTTCGCAATCGCGTTCGCGTTGAGTCGTCCACGTAGGACACAGGGTAAGAATGTAAGAGCGCAAAACAGGACTATTTTTGTAGGGAATAAAATACAAACAAGGTGTTCTACGTTATTTCGATACCTTGATGGCTCTTGGAGTATAAGATGAGGAAAAGTTTACAAAAAGTATTAAAACGTTGGTTCGACTTACTTCACACGCTACGTAAAGTCCTGGTTATCCACATACAATATTACTTCACGTACTCATAATCATTATCTTTGATCAAGAATACGATTGTAAACTGGATCATTTGTTTACTAAAACGTACAAGTATGCAAAATGATAATTTGTGGTTTTCATTATGAAAATCAAGTCAATCACTCACATCAGTCTGTCTATTGGCGATTTCGTCACTACGTAGTTTCAGTAATTGTTGTAGCGATTTTAATGGAAAATGAGACGTAGTAGGTATACTGGTTTATAACATCAGCAACCATTCCACTAAAATCGTTGCAGCGGATGCTGAGGCTACGCAGTGATTTGCATTTTTATGAGTAAAGCATCACAAATTATCCTTTGATACCACCTTCCCGAAACTTGTGCGTGGCAGTAAAAATGGATTCACTTTAAAATGGCCATCATAGATAATGACATACGTAGCGTGCTGAGTATGCCGAGCGACTGTTTTGATACACATTTTTAACCTTTTTTGTATAATTTTCTGTTTGTTTAGCAAAATACTTGTATTAGATTTTTGGTTTATATATGATAAGCAGACAGATAATTACATGTACCTTTACTATTCAATTTCTCGTAATCTGTTGACCTTACGACAAACTTTTATAAAAGCAAAATGAAAAAGAATTTAATTTCCTACAAAATTTTGTCTATTGCCTTGTTACATAGAATTAATGGTTTCTTCCGATAAATGTGTTTATTAAAATGGCGGCAAATGCTTCAGCTCTAGCAATTTGAACTCGTCATTAGGAAGCTTAACCTAACGATACCACCAAAAATTTTGATGTGGAATAAATTTCAAAAAAAAAAATACCTGACCTATGTAGAAAAGCAGTAGGTCATTCCTAAAAAAACTAAATTGAGCTGAAGAAAGCAGAAACAACTCTGGCAGGTGTTTCATTAGTTTGAGACAAACAGCTCTTCCCAGCAATTTTGACAGTGCCGGTAAGATACTTATCCCTGTGACGTGATTAATTTATGTAGGATTGAACTTCTTTGATACTACTTTTATAAATATACCTCGCCACGCGGCTGGCAAAACAGTTTCGATTAAGCAGCAATTTATTATATACGTGTCATGAGAAATAACATTGGCACAGAAAAATTCATCAAAAATATACTATTGTCATCATTTCTCTGAGTATTAATTTATGAAGGAATCTGGGGGAACTCAGTCTAGGACATGGAATTAACAAAACTGTCATTAAGCAAGTTCACATCCATTAGGTTGAAAGGGTAATGAATCTACACAGTTATATTTTAACATATTGTTTCGTTCTTAAATTTGCGGTGATCTGCTATGTTGGAACTTTCGAACCTATTCTTCTCTTGCAGTATCTTGATAATACTGCAAGTGCACATCAGTACCTATTCGTTTATTTATTTTGAATGTCCATGGTGTCTTACCTTTTATAACGGGGTACAGCAGTCGCATTGAGTCGGTATAAAGGCTGCAGGACTAAAAAAGGTATAATCACCTCTAAAGGAATTTGCTAAAAATAAGAGTTTCTCATGATTTTTTATTCATGCAGATTTTCCCACTGAATACGGAAATATTACGAGCAAACACAGAAGATCGCGATTGTTAGGACGCCGAACCACTAATTCCCATTAACGTTTCCTCAATTCCGGAAAATCATGTCCGGAAAATTCGTCTGTAGGTGGAATTTGCATTTGGATGGCATGTCGTTACTGTTCAGCTTGCTGAGCTCGTCACAAAATGAGTGTGTGCTGAATATTCCTATGGCCTCGACTTCCAATTGAAGTGTATGGTGAAGTAAACTTCAAATAGTTTTACTGGATATGTCAAATATTTGTACGGCAGTATTTAAATATAGGCAAATGACTATTTGCGTTGCGTCATCCTTCCTAAGGTACGATTCCATGTTGAAATATAGCTGTATGAGACAACATCGCGCCAGCCTAGCGTTTCATATCAACAAACCACTGTCAAGAGTAGTGGTCGCCAACTCGTCGATCGCGAGCTACCGGTAGGTCGCAAAGGCAACTCTGGTGGCTCACAACATATTTTAAAAAGGTGTAAGAATCATGAAGCTTACGTAAATTTTGTAAATTCTCATGATAAACACAAGCAGCGGCAACACTGCGGTGTGCGATCTGTTCAAGAACGATCTCGATTACTTTGAACGGAATAAATACGCAAGGCGCGGCGATAGCGACAGTGCGCTTAGTTTAAAACTGAACGACACAGAGTCCAGTGGTTGGGTTAGAGTTGACCTGCAATTAAAAACCCTATATTTCCATTCGGAATGGGAAAAACAATATTTATTTACACAAGTGAAAGGTAAAAATGTATGTTTGTTATGTAATACATCTGCTTCCGTTGCTAAAAAAATATCGAGAGGCACTATAAAACTGAACATTCGAGTTTCGAAAAATCATTCCCATTACCTTTTGCAACCAGAACGGAAAAACTGAAACAATTAAAAAATCAGTTAATTGGACAACAGACAATCTGTTTAAAAACAATTGACAAAAGTAAGACTGCAACTGAAGAATCATACCGCGTATCTCAGATAATTACACAAAAGAAGAAACCTTATGAAATGTTAAAACAGGCGTTTTTGGAAACTGCATATTCATTATTTACCAACTTTAGAAATAAAGACGAGATAGTGTCTGCTATAAAATCTATGCAACTTTCTGCTAATACAGTGATGAGACGAGTAGAAGTAATGAGCAATGATATAGGTTTTACAGTTAAGGAATTACTTCGATAACTGTGCTTATTTTTCACTGCAGCTGTCACAGCTCTCATTTACATCTCTCAGATGACCGTGTTCGTCAGGATGGTTTTTAGTGATTTTACGATTTAAGAAGGTCCTTTGACGTTTATTCCACTAAACGGACAAACAACTGGGCAGGCTTGTTTTCTTCTTTTAAAAATATTATTTCTTCTGAGAAAGTTTTCCGCAATTTCTCTGTTACTACAGCATTGTCCATCTGGAAGCAAATTGTGAGCAAGATTAGAGCTCAGGCGTTACAAAGAAGATTATTCAAAACCTTGGCCGATGAAATTGCCTGTCAATACGGGGAACTACTTCTTTACTTTGAAGTCCAATGGTTAAGTAGGGGGCGAGTGCTGAAACGTTTTAATGATATCATATCTGCCATAGTTCAATTTTTCAAACAACGTGATGAACCGATTCCGGATCTGGAAAATTCGATCTGGCTTAGCGATTTCGGTTTTCTTGTGGATATTACAGAAAAATTGAATGAACTTAGTTTGCAGTTTTAGGGGAGAGACAAAGAACTAGCAGAAATGATTTCTGATATAAAAGCGTTTATTAAAAAGCCTGAGTTTTGAAAACAAAACTTAATCGATAGCGATACCTGGCATTTTCCCGTTCTTTCAGAAAAGATATCTCAAAGTTCATCAGAACCATATAGCCATATAACTTCAAAAACCGTTCCAAGAATTTCAACGAAATTGCTATAGTGGTGCAATTTATTGTTTCGCCCTCCATGGAAATGGAGATCCATCAGCTTGCAACGTCTGTTACCCAGAATTTTAGCGAAGACCTCGCTGTGACAGAAATGGAAGTAATAGCGTTTCAAAATGATTTAGCTTTAAAATCATTAGTCTCAAGTACAAAACGTATGTGGCCTTCAGTAAGTAACGATAAATAATTCAGTTTTATGTCGTGTTGCCTTGAAAGTGAAAGCGTTATTTAGTTCAGCCTATTTGTGAAATCTACTTTTTCGAATATGAAGTTTATTAAAAACAAATACCGTAATCGACTTATAGATGAACATTTGGATAATAGTATTCTAATGGCGGTATCAAATTATTCTCCAAACATTAAAAAAAATTGACTGTGAGACTAGTTGTCAGGCTTCTCATTGAAGACACATTTTTTATATGGACATGTTTTTGTTTAAAATGGTGCGTTGCTTTTTTATTTTTAGTTACCTTTATTAAATCGTGACCTGCCAGTGTAGCTGGCGAAAAATTTTGTTTATTTTTCAAACACCTACGATTGATAGGAATGGTTTCGTTATGTAGTTATTAGTTTATTTAAGTTTATTAGTATGCATTAGTACTAGTAAAATAAATATATGTATGTCGCATACAACTGTGTATAATTTCATTTAAGTTGGTTTACTGTCTATTCCAAAATTACCAAAGTAGCTCAACACGCTGAAAGGGTTGGAGACCACTGGTCAAGAGTATTCAAGTTGGTAGTCGACAAAGTTATTCAACAAGTACGTGGGAACAAAACAACGCAATTCTAACATTACTTAAAGAAAAACAGGAATAAAAATTATATAAAGCACTTTCTGAGACCAGAATTTACATATCTCATAGTGACAGTGTTCCGCGTAACCGAAATTTGACTTATGTTTCCATGTGCGCTAAATAATAGGTCTCCTGTCACATTTGACGCAGGGAACGGCATCTGGAACGCATCAAGTATCTTGAACTCCTGCTACCAAAATCTCTTTGATAAATCAGTAGTGATGGGTATAGCTACAATATCTCAATACGGAGAAATCGTCTGCGTTACCCGGCCAATATGTGCCGGATGATTTAACAGCAGTTGTGTAAGATATAGTATCGTAAAATTTTTATCCATAAATCTAGAACACAAAGACGACATGTGCAGCCGTAAAATTGTCGCCAATCCGCACTACAATCCACGTAAACGCCAGAAGCGAACCATGGGTGTGCATCAAAGGTTCTGGAAGTGATATTGGATAAGGTATTATTCCAGAGTCCAAAGAAACTTAAACTACGTGACACTTATGAGGACAAAAAATGCGGTTGAGTTCTGTTACAATCTAGTGTAACATGAGATGGAAACAGTTTCACAAACATTAAAAAGCTAAACAGTGTCCCAGCAACTTAGCAAATCAGAAAATATTGAAGAAACCATTAGACAGTTCCTGATATCGACTGTGTAGTAGCTATACCTTTTGCCTAGTTCTAACTAAAGAAAGTGTGTTTTGGCAAAGATAGTTAAAACGGTTAAGGTTAAAATTCGTCTTGCCTCTGATTAGTTGGCCTGTTTTTATTAAACTGGTTTTGATGTTTCTTCAACTATTTTAATTACTTGAAATAAATGTTTCATTAGTGACTTATCCTTAGTTTTGACTAATAAATATTTGTTAACTACGAATTAACATTTTAATAAGCAGTACCCAACAAGCTTCTCTAATACTAGTTTTAGCTGCGGTTTGAAGTTAGAACTAATTTTACCTACAATTTAAATACATAGTACAAGTAGTAAATTCTAGTTATAATATAAGCACATAGAAGAACTAGTTTTACCTAAAGAAGATACGTTGTTACTGGAACTGAAAACTAAAATCACAATACAATCTCTGAAACTTATCCTGTGGTTTTCATGTTGATAATCCCTCATATGTGTTTGATCGAATCAAACCTTATATAAGGATTGATCTGGCCAGACTAACTTAGGTGCTTTGTTAGTTAGCATGAACCTTATTTTCAGAAGTAAGCAGAAAAATACAGCTAGAGGCTGTTAAGACCTGTGATCCTAGAGGCTATGTAACACCAGATTAACGGTATCACTCTTATTTCTGTGGCGATTTAAAAGAAATATACCAGCAAGCCAAGCAACATAGAGGATGTGAACAGCAACATTCGGAGAACTGATCAAAATGTTCCTCTCTGAAGTGTTGGAAAACATTACCAACATTACCAAGACGTGTCGTCGCCGTTCTTCTCTATGCCACTTCGCCTATCCAAACGTCATCTTCTAGGCCTGTTCTCTGTAGATCTCATCTGACTTGCTTTTCCTGTTCCTCTGGAGGCCTACGTCTTTTCCTTCTGAAAGGAGGTTTTGAAATTAATATCCTTTTTCGCCACCGACTTTCATTCATACTGTTGACGTGGCCGTAACGCTTTAAACTGCATCTCTTACGTTCTGCTAACTCTGTCTTCTTCGCTTTATTTTATCGTTTCTGATTTTTTGTAGCCGCGAAGCTCCGCAGCTTCTTTGGAAGAAATCCATTTCTGTCGCCTCCACTCTTTGTCCCGTTTTGTCATTCACCCTGGTTGTCGTGTGGCTGTAGACAATGACAGCCATTTCATCTTTCAGAATTTTCCTCATAAAATACCTACAGATATGACACAGTTTCAATTTTTGAAGTCTTTTCATATTGATCAATGTTTTAGGATATGACTTGTGCGTTACTAATGGCTTTTCTTCATGTTTCTGGATAGCCCGTCTCGAAGGAAGACCTCAAGTTTTTTCATTGATATTGTACTTGACTGAAATTGTAGTGCGTCCTGATGGAGAAAATAAACGACGTCGAAAGCTCGTCGTGACCAAAAAACAAATTTTCTTACTGGCCTGAATTTATTTACATTGGAACTGTGACTTCAAGATCCCTATACGTGTACCTCAGCTAAGTACCTTACTGTTTTAAAATACTGTCTATACTTTTTTAAGCTTGTATACAATTCTATAAAGGTCTCGAAATAAATAGCTCAAAGTTGCTGATATATTGCAAAGTACAATGACAAAAAGTTGAGCTCCATCTACTGTTCAACGGGAAACAAGGTTTTGTAGGAAAATTAATCTGAACGAAGTTTTGAAGGCGTTTCAATAACTTTTATTCCTGATTAACTTATTTCATTTGAGATTCATAAATGAAATTGGGCTATACCAAGACTAATTTAATAGAACGAATTGGATTGGACTCTTCGATATCCTCTTAGCTCGTGAACTTTCTGGGAATGTACTTTATCACCACAGCAGATTGCAAAACTTTGAAGTGCACGCTGGGGTACTTATTTTTCTTCTTCATAATTAAATATCTCAGTAGGTATATCTAAGAGAATTATGGTTAATTGGGTAGATGTAGACATATTACTTACTGAAGATGTATGAATGAGCTATTAAGTATTTATAAGACAAGGGTCACTAGAATATATTTATACTTAACAATGATCAATTTATAAGTAAGAATTGAATATGGAGCGTAATTTCAAAGACAATATCAACATCATTGACGCTATTCCTATAAAGGCATTTGAGGATATGAGTGAGCATCACCGATATAAAACAGTTACAGCTATGTGATGACCGGTCACAAGAATGGCGTCACTTTAGGGTACTGTCATAATTACTAAAGACAAAAACGCATCAAGAACATGAAGAAAACGTAACCTTACTTCATCTTCTGTACTTTGCTATTATTCTGTATAAAGGTCCGGTTAAGCATCGACAGCGACTGGAGAAGGCAACACGGGATGGCAAACAACTTTATACAATAACAAATATTATTAATGAAAGTTATGATAAATTTACAAATGCAATCATAACAGCAAACCAGTATCTTTCTAAAAATATCAACAGTAGCAGATGCTTTAACAATAAGGGGCAGGTTGTTCTACATTTTGAGACCTTTAACCAGCATTGACTCTTCTGAACCTAAACATTTGTATATAAAAACTCTCTTTTGATCTAACGTTTTAATGTGCAATTCATATACTTATTTGAAAAATCAGATGGAAACTGATTATTGATAATTTTGTATAAAAGCATAAGTTCGCCTCTTGAATGATTTGGGGTATGCTTGAAAATTTAATATATTTTTCATTTCTCCCTCTATAGGAGCATAGTTGAAAACATTCACGTACACATTAATAGAATTTGTATGTTTTGCTTATTATCACTTGTGCATGTAAGCAGTCAGTAGTATGAGGTAAAACTATTGTATTGTAGATTTCCCTTCTGCACCAAGGGTTTAGATTGTCACAGGTTCTACAAAGACAAAGATTCTAGAGTTATAAAGTACCCGCATAGAGTTCCAAAATTATGATTTTCTATCCTAGACTTAGAATGTTCAAAAATAGCGCCTAAGCCGCCATCCTCAAATTCTCAATTGTCTCCTTTACGCCAAAATGGATCATGAATCAATTTCATTACCCAGAATTTCAGCCTACTGACATGACCTGTTCGAAAAATGGGTAGAGGTGGGGGCTTTAAGTGAAGCACTATAGATCTCTCCACGCGATACGAGGTAACTACTAACGCTTTAAAAACAGGTTTACAATATTTGGGGTTAAAATTTACTAACTTCGAAACCCATACAGAAATTTTGTGACATATGAATATTTAGTCGCAAAGCAAGAAAAAAAGATAAAGACGGAACAGTGATTCTAGGTCTGTAGCTGGAATTATTGTTTTGGACCTACAACCCTACTATTCTGGACTCTCCCGTTGCGAGGCCTCTGGGCCGTCACGACCAACAAATTCAAATAAGTTAGAAGGAGCATTGCACTGTTTATCGCTGAATTTGCGCAGCTTTAGTGCATATTCTTGACTAAATGCCAGCATTGTATTAACATAATAATAACACTTACCTGTGGAATCATACATCTTCATTAGACTTGTGCACAAGAATTATCTGCAGACACTTGCCTTTTTTAAAAATAAGTAATAAGTATTCGAATTTAATCATAGAGCTGCCAAAAAATTGGCTTATGACAAGTGCACTCTGATACAACAGATTATGAGAATAATGAGAGAAACAAATTCTTGACTGGCCCTATCTATTAGAATTTGTTGGTCACTACGAATTGATATTTCGCCTGAAAATCGGCAACTTTGTCCAGAAAGCGATCAGTACCTTGTATCGTTCGTATATACGCCACCAACCATTCAAATCTTCATTCTGATGTAATATTAAATGCAATGATAGTAGGTGCGATTTCCATGAAACCATTTCCTACCCGTCTAATGCAGATATCGAGGGAACGATAGATGGATGAGGGTGAATCAATACTTCAATGTGGCCTCTTTGGCTTTCTATGGGAAATCTGGTCAGCCACCCGCCAGTCAACGCAAATCACGGCAAACAATAACTCGGAATCATGACACGTCTCCATTCATTTCATTAATCCTCTGTAGACAGGAGATGCGAGGACGCTGGCTGCCTGAGCCAAAAAGGAAATTACTGTACGATGCAGCTTTGATTTTTTGTTGACATGGCTTACAGAGACTCTGATCGATAGATCCCATACTACCGCATTGCAAGTAGGTAGACTCAGTACCTTTCGCCTTTATTTGGGCGCGTTTCCTATTTGTCAATGCAATATAATGAACAATAAGGAATACAGCATATTGCTTGTCGCACCGATAGCGGCAAATAAGGAATTTATTCTATTTATCGGTGTTTCGTACTGTTTGTTACATCTCAACAACAAATAGGGCAGTTGGATTATACTGAAACTAAAAATATTTTCCGTTTATGAAATGTCAACGTCCCATATATTGAAATGTCTTAGAATTTTTGGAGGCCCCTCGTAAAGTGTTGTAAGCTCTGTCAAACAAGTTTTTACATCCATTTTATGCAAAATGATATGTTTCTAGGTTTTAAATGCCATTAAGCGTTTCATCGCAAAATCTACTTCGTCTCTAGATATGTAAATCAGGAAGCAACTCTTTTAAGGTGACTATCACACGATCAGTAATTACTATGGTCCGTACCATCACCGTTGATGATGATTGATGATTCCGTCAGTATCTGTGGATTTCTACGTAACTGTAGATCAGTAATTACTGCTATCCAGGCTACACGGTTTATAAATATCATAACCAATGATAAATACTGGCAGATCATAGTAAATTTTGATCGTTTAACATTCGCATGTCAGTATTTGGGGATACAGCTCCACAAGGGACAAGAAAACCACGCCCACCCTCTGACCCTCTCTTTCAGTTATTCTAATTTCTTGTTTCCAGAATTAACCCCTCGCCATGATCTTAACGTCCTTCAAAAGTGTTAACGAAATGGTAGGCAAAGCAAAAAATATCCTGGCCCCCAACTATCTCATACGTCTACAAGTTATCGCTCACGGACTTTCCATATACAAATTTACGACTACCAAAATTGTTAGTAAAAATGTGGGAATAAGGACAGTGTCCCAGAAATTGGATCGCCTCGTGTATTGATGGATAACCAGTGATAAGAGAGTCCTGATCAAAACTATACCACACCGCGTAGTGGGCTGACAAAGCCAGATGTGTGAAGGCGTCGATCGGCTAGCACATCAGCTCGAAGGCTCGCGGGTTCAAATCACGGCCTCGGCAGTCCTATTTCGGACTATCGACGTTGTGTCTGTATACATATGTACGCACCAGGTCGGTACAGGGCTAGATTATCTATCATCGCAACGCTAGAGCTGGTTTATTCAATAATCAGTTATCGATAAATGAGCATGTGGAGTTGTATAGTGTTGGCACAACAAAGTCGGCAAGAAGGACCACAGCTGTTCCAATTGTCAAGGTTCAGTTCTCCTCGTCTACTATTACAACAACTACTACTACTACTACTACTCAAGAATGTAACGATATGAAGAAAATCCTAATAAGAATGCTTACCAATTCAAATAATTTGCTTGCAAGGCATTAGTAAAAAAAATCTTACAGACCACAATACTTAATGCTCATTTAGCCGAAAAAGAAACCCAGAAACAAGCACTCTTTTCCGATGAAACCTCAACTGAAAGATCGTTTCCTTGTATTTCTGCTATTTACTCACTTTACTTAGTGCAGACGGACGGAAGTTTTTAAACAAGATTTATCGTCGAACCGGCTCTCCCCAAGATTTTAAGCGAAAATCGACCAACGCGTGCCGAAAGTATTAATCAAAGGGACAGGACTTGTTTCACCAAGTG